CCCGAGTTCAATCCCTGGTACCAAAAAAAAAAAAAAAAGAGAGAAAGCTGCTGGGTGTGCCAGTGCACACCTATAATACCACCATTTGGGAGGCTGAGGCAGGAGAATTGCCACGAGTTCAAGACCAGCCTGGACTACATTGCTAGCTCAAGACTGACCTGAATATTTTTCATAGAAAACAAAAAATCCATAAAGATCAGAAAGCTGAAGTTCAGAGGGGAGAGGTACCGTAGTTGAGATCATTCAATGAGCTAGTGATAGCAGGTGCTGGAACCCAGACTTCCCTACTCTTACTTGGGTAGGACATCAAAGCTACTATTTTTCGGGGCTACTATTTTTCTGAGAGATAGAGTCCAGGGAAGGGTTAGGCTGATGAATGAGGATGCGTTTGGAAACCTGATTCCCATGCTACCAAGCTCAAGAAGGGAAGAGAATCCAGTAGGTAATCTTTTCATCAGCTCTGCTGCCAAATACATGAGCAGGAGAGAGCAGAATTAGCTTGGCTAGAGACTTCAGAGGGTTCCTAGGGCAAACTAGGAGGCCATAGCTCTTCCTGGGATGTAAACTGTCCTGTCATTTGACTCTAGATTGTTAATGTATGGTACTCTGTAAATGGTGAGAGGCTGGGCACATACATGGGCCATACTGGAGCTGTGTGGTGTGTGGATGCTGACTGTATCCTTGTTTTTTGCTCTGAGTCTGTACTGTAGGGTCTGCCAGCAATGGAGATGCTGAGTTGGAGGTTGGGAAATGGGTCTAGAGAACAGTACTACCTCCTACTCTCAGTTTCTTCACTGATTGGGGAAGCATTCAGGACAAGTTCCAGTTCAGGATGAGGAGTATAAAATGCTCTGAGGTAAGAAAGAGAAGAAAGGTCTTTGGGCCAGACTGGGAGATGATCTGGTTGACCTCCCAAGAGAATAAGGGTTCAGGTGAACTTAGTCATATTCCTTAACACCCTCTCCAGGGGACACCAAGCATGTCCTCACTGGCTCAGCTGACAACAGCTGTCGTCTCTGGGACTGTGAAACAGGTAAGCCTAGGTCATTTACTTCTTCAGCAAAAACTTTACTACAGTGTACCTGTCTAAACAAGTTCTGGGGAAGTGGGCATAAATCCAGAGATAGTTCCCAGTGTAGAGAATATGAGACAATAAGGAAAGTCAATGAGATAAGAACCATTACGTAGAACAATAAACAGAGTACTGTGGAGGGCCAGGACTGGCAACTGACTGCCTGGGATGGGGGTGGAAGCAGCCTGGGATGATTTCCCAAGGTAAGTGTTACATGAGCTGGGGCTTAAAGGATCAGAAAGATGTCATCACTTTGGCATATGCTGGAATAAAAGCAAGGAGAGTATCGTAGCCTTCTTAGGAGTAGAGTAGATAGCCAGTAAAGAAGATAAAGGCAGGAGAGTCAGGCTGGAGAAGAACAGGCCCTGAATGCCCAACTCAGAAGCTTGGCTTTGTTGTATAGCATGCATTGGGGGTGCCTGAGCAGGGAAGAGTGGTCTGGTTAGTTTTAGCAAGGTCCAGGAGCAGTGGAAGAGCTGGTGCTGAAGACAGGAAGCCTATGAAGCTAATCCATTTAATAAATATTTACTGGGCCAGGGATTTAGCTCAGTGGTTTCGCCGCCTGCTGCACAAGCGCAAGGACCCAAGTTCAATCCCCGGTACCAAAAAAAATAAATATTTACTGGGCTTCCAGTTCCATGCTGGCACTGGGGTCATGCAGAGAAATCAGACCCGCTCCTTGCTATAGAGAAGCAAAGTCTGAGGGGGACAGATAGGTTGTAGTCCACTAGGAACAGTGCCACATTAGCAGGATGTCTGAGGAGGGACTGTGGGAAAGGAGTGAAAAGACTTGACTGAGAGCATAGCAGTGAGGAAGAGTGGTGGGCTGGAGTCACTGGAGAGGGGAAGCTGAGATCTGATGATAGGCAGGTGTCAAGTCCTTGTGGGGATAGTGAACAGGGATATCCCAGACTCTGCCTGTCTCCAGGGAAGCAGCTGGCCCTCCTCAAGACCAATTCAGCTGTCCGGACCTGCGGTTTTGACTTTGGGGGCAACATCATCATGTTTTCCACGGACAAGCAGATGGGCTACCAGTGCTTTGTGAGCTTCTTTGACCTGCGGGATCCGAGCCAGATTGGTGAGGGCTGGGGCCAGGGCTGAGGTTGAGGTGAAGCGTGCAGCTCTGGAGACCAGGGCCTGACATGTACTGCCCCACACAGACAGTAATGAACCCTACATGAAGATCCCTTGCAATGACTCCAAGATCACCAGTGCTGTGTGGGGGCCCCTAGGAGAATGCATCATTGCAGGCCACGAGAGTGGAGAGCTCAACCAGTATAGTGCCAAGGTAAGGAGCCAAGTGGGGCCTGAGTCCACCAGAATGACACCTTACAAAAAGCAGGATACCACAGTGGCTAGGAGCAGGATTTTGCCACTTTCGTAACTGTGTTGCAGTTATGTGATATTAGCAAATTACATACTTTCTCTGAGCCTGTTTATCTATAAAATGTCTCAAGGGTCAAATGACATCAGTTTAAAAAACTTGTCACAAAGTACTTAAGACATGTTAATAAAGAGCAAAAATCATTTTTCTGCTACCAGAGTGCCAGGCCCTATGCTAGGCACATGCCTATAATCCCAGCACTCAGGAGTCTGAGGCAGGAGGATCCCTGGGAATTCAAGGCAGCCTGGATTACATAGTGAGACCCAGTCTCAAAAAAACGAAAGGATCAGATATGATCTAGGGGAACACAGTCATGAAAACAGCACATGAATCAGATTGTGAATTGTGCCACCCCAAATATGAGAGGTGCATTGTGCCACAGAAAATGTAGCAAGTACATTAATGGAGCTTCAAGCAAAAAGGATAGAATATTCCATAGGCAAAAGGAGCAGCAAAAACAAAAATCTAGAGTTAAGGAAGTATATGAATTCTTTAATCCTCAGGGGGCTGGGGATTTAGCTCAGTGGTTTCGCCACCCACTGCGCAAGTGCAAGGACCCAAGTTTGATCCCTGGTACCAAAAAAAAAATCCTCGGAAGGTTTCTGGGGAGACATGTAGGGAAGGTGGGCAAGGACTGGATTTTAAAGGTCAGTAAATATCATGGGTTAAGGATTTGATTTTTCTCTAGGCAGTAGGATTTTTTTTCTTTTACTACTAAGGATTGAACCCAGGACCTTTGCCCTAAGTTACCCAGCTCCCCTCTTTTTTGAGGCAAGATTACCCCACACACACTGGGGATTGAACTCAGGACCTTGTGCTTTCGAGGCAGGTGTGGTGCCACTGAGCTAAATCCCCAGCCCTAGACAAGATCTTAATAAGTTGCCCAGGCTAGGCTTGAATTTGTGATCCTCTTGTCTCAGCTTCTCAGTATGCTGGGTTTACAGGCATGCACCAGCACACCCAAGAGTATGGAATCTTCAGAGTTGTCATTCAGATTTTCTCTGTAGGTTTCTGCAGGCCACAGCTTGGAGAATAGATCTGAATTAGCCAATAGGCATGGGAATAGAGAGAGCTAGACAGAGTCAAGAGGTATTTAGGGCTGAGTGCAGTGGTGTGCCTATAGTCTAGTTACTTGGGAGGCTGAGGCAGAAGGGTCAGTTGTGCCCAGGAGTTCAAGGCCACCCTGGAGAACATAGATCCTCATCTCAAAAAAGAAAAGTAACAAAGATGTTTAGAGATGACTGATTAGATTGAAGGGGTAAGGAACTGGTAAAGGTCAGGTTGTCTCAGGTTTCTGGGGAACAGTGGGGATTGGGACTGGTCAGTCTCACTCTCCCTTTCCTCAGTCTGGAGAGGTATTGGTGAACGTTAAGGAGCACTCCCGGCAGATCAATGACATCCAGTTATCCAGAGACATGACCATGTTTGTCACCGCATCCAAGGACAACACAGCCAAGGTAAACCTGCCAGAGGGCCTGGCAGGGCTTCACTCGCTCCCCCTCCTGCACACACTCAGCCTGCCTGACTTGTCCCATGAAGGCATTTTACATATTTCTCCCCTGCTTTCTTTTTTCAGCTCTTTGACTCCACATCCCTGAAACATCAGAAGACTTTCCGGACAGAACGTCCCGTCAACTCAGCCGCCCTTTCTCCCAACTATGACCATGTAAGGGAACCCCAGTTGGGCTTTCTGCTAAGGCCTCAAAAACCTAGGATCGTGTTTCTCTAGCAGTTAGGCTACAAACATTGTCTGAGAGGAGATTCTTAGGGCAGTGACAAGGCTGAATGATTAAGCAGCCCCAGGGAACTAAGCAGGAGGTAGCTGAAGTGTCTGTTCATCCTGCCTTGATATCCTCCCATTGTCTTGTGAGAGGAGTCAAGAACTTAACTGGGCAGAGAAGAAAATAAGACCCAGCTGGCCTTTGGTCCCATCTATCTGGACTTTTTTCTTCCCTGCAGGTGGTACTGGGCGGTGGTCAGGAAGCCATGGATGTAACCACTACCTCCACCAGGATTGGCAAGTTTGAGGCCAGGTAAAAGGGAAAAGAGCGCTTCCAAAGGACAGCTGCATGGAGGACAAACCATATAGGCTACTAGGAAGTACAGGCAGTGTGACAAGTGTGTAACAGAGCAGTTAATATCGTGAACTTAGAGACCTTATGCATATCATGTTTCTCTGCCCAGTCTTCTCAGCTGTGTAATGGAACGGTGATAATATACTTATATCATAAAATTGTGCAGATTAAATGAATGAGTTAATATTTGTTAAGCTCTTAGAGTACTGCTCAGCATGTAGTAAGCACTTAATGTTACCTACATATTCAAACAGAAACTTCATCTTACTTTGTTCATGTTCATTTCCCCTTATTCTAATTTCCTACTTTATTCATTAGTTTGTATTTTGAGGAATGTTACCTCTGGCATGTTTTGGAAGGAGACAGAATGAATTTATTGAATCTCTGCACCCTCTCTCCTCCAGGTTCTTTCATTTGGCCTTTGAAGAAGAGTTTGGAAGAGTCAAGGGCCATTTTGGACCTATTAACAGTGTTGCCTTCCATCCTGATGGCAAGAGGTAGGGCCGCAGTGCCGGGAGGGAGCTCAGCCTGGGTCTCTTCTCTGCCCTTTTCCCATGCTGGGCCTCACAGGCTTCCCTCTACTAGAGCAAGCATCTGATTGGCCCCTGGCCCTCTTTTTTCAGTTACAGCAGCGGTGGTGAAGATGGTTATGTCCGTATCCACTACTTCGACCCACAGTACTTCGAATTTGAGTTTGAGGCTTAAGAAGCTGAATCTCCATCCAGGCCAGGGAGACTGCTTGTGGAAAGTTTTGGACTCTTAGAAATAAATTAGTTTGGGCAGTGAGTTTAGCTTAGTGGTTCTGCAGCCTGCCTTGCAAGAGCAAGGACCCAACTTCAATCCCCGGTACCAAAAAAACAAAAACTAAATAAATAAATTAGTTTGGTAATAAATGGTTTTCTGGGAAGACATTTCACTTGGTCTGTCTCATCGTTTTCTCTCCTCACTGACATGCCAGCAGTCTGATGCCAGTCATGAATACATTTATTATATAGGCCTTTTCCCTATACTTCAGACACTTCCAGGGTGGAACTTCAGTATTCTGGGCTAGCTCAGGTTGCAGGTGGCCTTATCCAAGGTTCAAGGTCTTGAGGGTCCTGAGGTTTCAGGAGTCCTCAGCCACTGTTCAAGGACCCAGTGCTTAGGGTGGAGGTTCAGTTGCAGCTGTTGGCTGAAAGCCTTCTCTCTTTTCATTTTGTCACTATTTGCCACACCTCCCATGCTGCTTCTGAAGGCTCAGGTGGGCAGGCCAGCAAAGAAACAGGCCCGAGGAGGAGGAAGACAGGTAAAGAAGCTGAGCAAAGGAGATGATTTCCCAGGGGTGGGAGTGACACTCACCTTGCCACAGCCACAGGCTCTGGGGCTCCACAGAGGGCCAGACGGTCATGGGATTGAGGAGACAGTGGGTTCTGGAGTTTTTGTTGCTCTCTTGGCTGGTTAAGCCCTGACCACCGGCAGTGTGTTAGTCCTTACCTCACAGAGACATCTGTAAGGAGTAAGGGAGGGTTTCCAGCTGTGACTCCTGGGAGCCAGTGGGGTCAGCCCTGGTTAGTAGGGTAACAGCCACTCTTGGGCACTGATAACCTCTCCTTGAAAACAATTTTTTTGTGTGTGTGGTAAGGGAGATTGAACTCAGGGCCTTGCGCTCGTGAGGCAGGCGGTGGCACCACTGAGCTAAATCCCTGGCCCTCTTGAAAACACTTTTGCTAGAAAGGTCTTGTGCTGGGCTGTAGAACAAAACAGGAAAAGACTAAATCTTACTCCTTAAGGAGTTCTATGTTGGGTGTGGTGGTGCATTCCTGTAGTCCCAGTATTCAGGAGGCTGACACAGGAGGATCAAGGCCAGCCTAGGCCACACATAGTGAGACCCTGTCTCAAAAACAAAAAGCTGTTTGAGCTGGGTGTTACGGCTTATATCTAGATGTCCCTTCAAAGCCTCATAGGGTCATAGGTGTCGCTTTTGGAAAGTGACTAGATCATGGTTGTGCAATACTGGATTAGTCCACTGATGGCTGTAGGTGATGGACTACTAAAGAAGGAAGACCCACCCTGGGAGTGGGTGATACCAACCAATAGGCTTGTAGCCTGGATGGAATAAAAAGGGAAAGAAGGCATCTGCTTTCTGCCTGCCATGCCATGGACTGCTGCTTCTCTACCGTGCTGCCCTGCCTTGGAGCCAGCTGTGACTGGACTGAAACTCAAAAACTGTGAGCTAAAATAAACCTTTCCTCCTTTAACTCATGGGTGTCAGGTATTTTGTCCCAACAATGCGAAAGTAAGTCTCAGTAGAAGTTTACCAGGTGTAGAAAGACATGCTATAGTTTTGATCGGGAAAAGGCTTGGTCCCCAGTTCGGTGCTGATGGCAACTGGTGGAAACTAAGAAACTGGGCCTGGTAGGAGGTGTTCAGGTCACTGGGGAGATGTTCTAGAAGGGGACAGCGGGACCTAGCCCCTTCCTCTTCTGCTCTTTGAATCCTTGCCACGAAGTAAGCAGTTTTGCTCTGCTGTGTCTTCCTGCTGCTTTGCCATTGGCCCAAAAACAAGGCCAACTGACCATGCATTGAAACCTCCAAAACTACAAGGCAAAACAAACCCTTTCTCTTTACAAGTTGATTATCTCAGGCATCTTACCACATTAACAGAAAGCTGACTAACAACATGTAAATACTTAGGACAGTGATGGTGAACCTCTTAGATGAGTGCCCAAACTGCAACCCAAAAGTCTATACCAAAGTGCCAACACTTCAATTAAACCTGAATACTGAGCATTTAGTTTAGAAAAAAACAACTGTTACCTGATGTGTGGCTGCTGGGGCAACTTGGCTTGTGTGCAGACAAAGGGGTCTGGATACCCACTGTAGTACATGTGCCATAGGTTTGCCACCACTGGCTTAAGGGAATATCATGAGCCAAAGCAAGGAGGTGGGAGAGGGCCCAGGTGAATATTGATAGTTCCAACTGATGAGGTCTTTAAAAACTGATTAAAGCGGGCCGGGGATTTAGCTCAGTGGTTCCACCGCCTGCCTCGCAAGTACAAGGTCCCGAGTTCGAGCCCCAGTACCAAGAAAGAAAAACTGATTACAATCCAGGCATAGTGGTGCACATCTGTAATCCCAGCACTTGGTTTTTGATGTTTTTTGTTTGTTTTTTTGTTTGTTTTCTTTGCTACAGGGATTGAACTCAGGACCTTGCACTTGAGAGGCAGGCACGGTACCACTGAGCTAAATCCCCACTCCTGTTTTTGTTTTTGTTCTTTTAATACAGAACGAGGGATCAAACTCAAGACCTTGCACTTGCAGGCGCAGTGCCACTAAGCTACATCCCTGGCCCTGTCCCAGCACTTGGGAGGCTGAGGCAGGAAGATCACCAAGAGTTCCAGGCCAGCCTCAGCTACATAGTAAGTTCAAGGCCAACCTGGACTGCATAGTGAGACCCTGTCTCAAAAGGATAAGTAAAGTAAAAACCTTGTTAAAGTGGAGATGGGAAGAACAGTAGGGAAGCTAGTGATTAGTCCAGATGGAAAGAAATGAGTGTAAATAAGGCAGTGGAGGGATCTCTGACAGGAGAGGGCCCAGCTAAGAAGTTTTTAGGAGAAAAGCTAAAAAGGAAGGATAGGGGAGAGGGAGATAAATGTAGCAGTTTTTAACTTGACTGACACATTAATGGAGTTCGTGAAACAAGATGGGCTGTGGGGAGGATGAGGCGACAGGATAATTTAAGTACGATCTCCACCACGGAGTGATATGGACCCCTTCCCACCTCTCACACTGATGAGACAAAGAGGACATGTGAGGCTGATGGGGAGCACATGCAGCAAGCCAACCAAATGACACAAGCTACCACTTTTTGTGTCCGTTATATGCCGTGCTAAACATACCATGCTTCAGCTTGGCTAACTTGGCCAATCCTCACAACCCCTGTGTGGATGGATTATAGCTCCTACTAGCCTCTTGAAGTCTCAGAGAGCTTTGCATATGGTCACCCAGCAGGTGAGTGGTGGAGCTGGAATTAGAGTACAAATAATTAAACTCCACTTTCAACTGTACTCTTTGCTTCACTAGAATCAGCGTTGTAAAGTGGTAGTCCAGAAATCATTCTTGAAGGAACTATCTGCTTCAGTCCTTTTTTAGAAGTTTTTTGGGGTTTTTTTTGGTACTAGGGATTGAACTCAGGACCTTGAGCTTGCGAGGCAGGTGGCGGCACCACTGAGCTAAATCCCCAGCTTTTAGAAGTTATTTTTAAACTGATATCAAAAAACAAAACAAAACAAAACAAAACAATAAACTGATATCTAAAAACTAAAATAGTATTTTTTTTTTGGTACTGGGGATCGAACTCGGGTCCTTGCGCTTGTGCAGCAGGCGGTGAAACCACTAAGCTAAATCCCCAGCCCTAAAATTGTATATGTTAATGGGATAATGGGATATTTCAATCCACGTACATTGTGTAAAAAGTTTAAATCAGGTTAAACATCTATCCCAAACATCATTTCTTTATAATGGAACCTCAAAATACTTTAGCCTCTCACCTCACGCCCTGAAGTTCTGGGGATTGAAATGGGTGCAAACCACTGAACTACATCCCCAGCCCTTTTTATTTATTTTGAGATAGGATATTGATAAGTTTCCTGGGCTGACTTGAACTTGTGATCTTCCTGCCTCAGCCTCTCCTATAGCTCAGATTACAGATGTGTGCTACCACACGTGGCTTCATATAACTTTTTAAAATATACAACTTACCCTGGTACCCCCCCCAAAAATAAAAATACACAACTCATTTTTATCTATAGTCATTCCTCTATAATAGCACAACAGAACCTTTTCTCTCTATTTGTAATTTAGTACAGTCTTTATTTTCAAGGTAGAGGCTATGGACCAACTGGGCAGGCCTAAAGGATTGTCCTTGGACCCATCTATCTCTGGGTTTGCAGAAGGTATAGGGAGGTGTAAGATTTGGAGGCAAGGGAGGAAAGAACACAGTTTTTCTAAACACTGGAAAGAAGGCCTCTAAGGAAGTAAGGTGTTAATGCAGCAGGTACAGTATCTGCGCCTTCCCTGCACCTGGCCCTACCCACCTCAACACCCGCTGAGTTCACCTCTCCCTTTCACTGTTGTAGAGGAAAGTGCCAGAAGGGGAAGCATAGATGTGGACCAACAGTGCCAACTGCAGCTCCTCCCCAAACTCCAGGGAAGCGGGAACTGGTGCCCCAGCTGCCACACACAGTCCAGGAAGAGGAGAAAGGTGGGTGCCTCGTGCTTTGGGCGACCATGGGAGAAGGCTGAGTGGGCACAGCTCAGCTGGGAGGGGTGACTGGCCTGGAGAAGGGGCAGAGTGGTGGGCACAGCGAAGTGGGGTTTCTGGATGGAGGGGTAGAGCTGGAGCTGGGTGACCACCTACCTGGCAGTTCCTGGAACCGTCACTGTCCAACTTGAGGGGTCCACGATGAGTTGGGCCAGTGAAGTTACGAGCAAGGTGCTGTCTATGCCTTCAGCCCCATGTACCAGCATGCAGGCCCCTTCCTTGTGGGCCCACAGCTCATCAATGGTGACACTTCCTTCCCTGACTGAGGTGGCCAGGCCAGGCATAGAATGAGCCCCATTCAAGACTGTATCTGCTTACTGAGTCAGAGTTTTGTGCCAGGGATTGAGAGCCCTGTCCAGGCCACCCGATTCTCTCTGAGTAAGAGCCTTACCTCTCTGTGGCCTGGGCTGCCAGGCAGGCAGTGCTCAGTGATTCCTTCACATGTGTCAGCCAGCAGCACCCCTCTAGCCAACTAAGCCCGTGGTCTGTGCTCTGTTCCAGATCCCCACAAGCCTCCATCAGGCACATGAAGCTCTCCCGGAAGGGCTGCCCCCTAGACAAATGGAAATGTGATCATCCTTTCCCCAGCCTAGGTTCTCAGTAAGCCTAGCCTGGGAGCAAGTGCTCCATCTCAGTGAGGGACAGGACCCTTTTTAAAATTGTATTTTAAAGAGGCATGAGAAGGGTTTATCAGAGGTAGATGCAGGACACACTTAAGAACAGAGTGTGTGTGCTCAGAGCCATGAGGCACCCAGAACCCTTTGAGGAGCCCATTTGATAATTTGATAAGAGGTGGACACAGGACCCTTTGTTTCTTTTTTTGTTTTGTTTGTTTGTTTTTTGAGACAGGGTCTTACCATGTAATTCAGGCTGGTTTTGAATTCACTGTGTAGCCCAGGCTGGCCTCAAACTTGCAGTGACCTTCTTGCTTCAGCCTCCTGAGTGCTGGGATTACAGGTGTGTGTGCCACCACACCCGGATACCCTTTGGGTCTAATTTCATGTACACAAAATTCCCTGAAGAGCTCTAATCTGATGGATTTTTTTTTTTTTTTTGAGATAGGGTTTCAGGCTGGCCTTGAACTCACTGTGTAGCCCAGGCTGGCCTAGAACTCCTGGCAGTCCTCCTGCCTCAGCCTCCCAGGTGCTAGGATTATAGAAATGCACCACCACACCCAGGATAATGCAGTATTCTTGAGGATTCCCCAGTCTGATGGGGACCACCCAAGATCCTTTGGGGAGACCTAGTCTGTTGGAAGGAGCACAGCATTACCTGGGGACAGGTCACATTCAAACTCACAGCAATCCTCCTATCTCAGTCTCCTGAGTGCTGGGATTACAAGCATGCACCACCACACCTGGCCTCCCTCCCCACTGCCTTTAGGATAAAATCTAGGCTCATAACCGTGGCATTCAATACTCTTCATCCTGGGCATCCCCACATGCAACTCATCTTCCCTTTAACTTCACCTCTGCTCCCACTTCCTGCTCTCCAGTTCTGCCCTGTTGAAATGCTAGCAGTTTTCTCTACCTGGATGTCACACCTCTGGGCCTCCTCTGTGCTGCATCTCACTACCTGTTGCCATTATTCCTGAGCTCTGTCACATCTGAGCTGGCCCCAAGGCAGCCCCTGTGCTCAACGTTGGGTGAATCAGCTATTCCAGAATTTGAAGAGAGCACATTTCATTATGTTCCATTGTTATGGGTGTTCCAAAAATGGATCACTAGGCATTGAAGAGTTAATGAGACCCTGTCTCAAAATGTAAATAGGCCTAGAGATGTTTAGCAGTAGACCAACCCCAGTACTGACACCAAAAAAACCATTTGTTGGGTTATCAAGAACCCCAGCCTTGTGTCTCAATCTCCTGCAAGGCAATAGGACACAACTGATAAAGAACAAAAGACACGGAATCAAGTCTTAAAAAGAAAGTGGGGCTCTAGGATGGTCTAAGCTGCTCTGGGCAACAAAGACAAAAGGCACCCAAGACTTCCAGTATTTCCTGATTACAAGCTTGGGAAGAAATAGGGCAGGGTATATGTGAGGCATCTGGCAGGCATCTGGAAATAGCAGTTATCACAGGCAAGGCTGTAAAGGGGAGGCACTGCTCTCTTGCAGAGGAAAACAAATGGAAATCAGGACTGGGTCATAATTAACCAGCAACCCATCAGGCCAGTGAAGGAGGCCATAATTCAGGGAAAGGGATTTAGTTGGGATCACACTGACCTCGGCTAGAAGTTAACAGGGCCCTGCATTTTCACAGACCATGACTTAGGTCTGCACAGCGGCCATTGGCAGAGGAACTATGCTCATCCAGCTCTGCCATCTGACATGCTCGTGTGAGTCACGTAGGCTTTGGTTGGACTCCTAATATAATACAGCTGAATTCTGGGGAAGGAAGAAGCTTGTAGCACTTAAGCCTGCTTGTAAACCAGGCAAGGGTATCTTCTACACTGGGTGAACAAACTGGGTATACAGTTTGGTCTTTTGGATAGGGAAGCAGTCTACTCTTCTCAAAGCACAAAAACTCCTTCAGAACTTCTTCATGGTACTATGACACCTGGAGACAGGAAACATCTGTGCAGGCTCAACCTTTCAGGGAAGGATATGTGTAGGGAGGCTGTTCTAGGAAGACCAGTTTCAGTTTAATGTAGAGGTGCTTTTTCTTTCCAGGGAGAGTTGGGATACTTTGAAAGTGGTAAGCTTGCTCATTTAGGGATGTGCAAGTGGGTATGGCCAGCTGGTGGGTTGGCAGCCAGGAGAAGCCTAACAGTCCTGGCCAAACTCCCCCCCCCCAACACACACGCATACACATCTATTTTTTCCCCTTGGTACTGGGAATCAAACTCAGAACCTTGCACTTGCCAGGCAGGCACAGCCCCACTGAGCTACATCCCTGGCCCTATGCATACACATCCATGAAGAGCCCTGAAGGAAAGAGTCTGGGAGAAGATGGGAGGCTCCCTAGTCTCCAGGGGCTGGGGTAGCCATTTCCTGCTAGGGTAAGCGGCCTTGGCCTCCGCCAGCCAGGCAGGCCTATTTAGCAGCCTTGGCCGATTGAGTGTCCATGATGAACCCCTGGGCCCAGAGTGAATTCCCACCAGCACAGCTCGAAGCACCTGCTGGTCCTCAGCCAACGCCTCTTGGGGACTGACCAGTGGCTGGCTGGAATGTAGCAGAACCTGAGAACAGGGACCCAGCCCAGGTTCAGGGATTGGGCTCAGGGAGCCCTAGGTCGGAGCTGGCAGAGCTGGCAGAGCTGGCAGGGACCTTAAGGATGGAACTCCAGAGGCTTCCGGCAGAGTGTGGGAGGGACTCAAGGACTCAAGTTCAGTCTCAGGATGGACAAAGAAGTGATTAAGCTTCCAGGAGCCAGCGGCTGGGCGGAGCAAGGTTGAGACTGACAGGCGAGGAGAGGGGAGAGTGATTGGGCCAACGGTGGTTGGATTGCCCAGAGGCCGGAGCGAGAGTGGAGCAGGTGTTGGAGCAAAGGCGAGGTGAATTGGTCTGGCCGGGTAATAGAGTCTTGAAGGTCTCCTAGGGAGGGGTGGGCTCAGGGTTCTGCTGGACGCTGGGAAACGGCCTCCCTGGTGGAAGCGCCAGGGCGTCGTGGTCTACTGAGTAAATCGCGATCACAGCACGAGTGTAACTGGGGTGCGCTGAAGTCCTGGTTCACCTCGCTCAGCCGCCATGCGTTGTTCTGCAGCGCAGGAGGAAAGCTAGGTCTGGGGCATCCAATGAGTGCCCTGTCTGTGTTCCCCTTCCAGACCCCGAGCTTCTTCATCCCCAACCCTGGTGACTGCGCCAGGCCAGGCGTCACCCAATCTTAGCCTCTTGGGGGGATAGAAGAGCGGAAAGGAGGTGATGACCTATTCCAGGGAGGACAGTGCCTGGGGAAAGAAGTTAGGGACTCTGGGAAAGGTCAGAATTGTTTCAATCGTGCCCACTCCAGCCCCTCCTCTTCACGTATCCCAGGCCTCCTGTGTATTCCCCTGCTAGTCAGCTATGTCCTGGGATAACAAAGATTATGAAGCCCCTCCGCACAGCAGCCCCTTTTTACTCCACTCGATACAGGATAAAGGTCACTTAAAGACCTCGAGTGCGTCCCCAGCATACCTTGATGGTGCCAGCGATGTCCAGCGTCGCTTTCTCGCCCTCTATATTCAGCTGCAGCACCTGGGGTCTTTTTTTGTTTTGTTTTGTTTTGGTTTTTGGTACCGGGGATCGAACTGGGGTCCTTGCGATTGCGCAGCAGGCGGCGAAACCACTGAACTAAATCCTCGGCCCCTAAGCACCTGGGGTTTTTACAGTGCAGTTTGATGGTTGCCTAAGGCGCCCGAGACGCTGGGGATGGACAGGTGGGCGAGAGCTCAGTGTCCTGGGCCCCATCAGGGGACCGGAAGAGTTCCACGACTGGACGTCAGGCAGGAGGGCGCCAACTGCTCTGTCCCTTCCCCCTCTCCTCGCGGAGTCGCTTGCTCCTCACTCCAGGGACGCCCCAGTCACATCTCTCACGGCTTCTCGATGGAGTTGACCCTACGCAGCAGCAGCAGCCACAGGACCTGAGTTGACTGGGGCCCTGGCAACACGGGTGGGAGCCAGTGACAATTAGTGTGCAGCACAGCTGGGGCGCCTCCGGACCCCAGAGGAGCTTCGTTCCGACCAGGATCAGCTCCAAAAATTCCATTCTGCCAGCGGGGGTCCAGGGACCCATCCCGAGTGGCCCTCGACCAGGCAATTGCAGCTTCCAAAGAGGCCCGGCAGGACAGCTGTTAAGGAGGCCCCTCAGAGGAAGGGATCACGGTTTCTCAGGCATTTTCTCATCTTATTGCCAGTATCTCAAAGCGAGGAGCCCTGTCCAAGAGTATTAAGGAAACAGTTTCAATGTCTGTCAGATCAGAATAAGCTTACCTAAAAACCTTAAACACTTGTTTGGGTCTCAAGAGACACACGATACTTTTTGGTTTTTTAAGCACTGAGTTGCTGGTATTCCTGTGACTCAAAAAGAAAAATAACCATTTCTTCCCCTGCACCCTGGTGAATGGGCTGGAAAAGTGTAGGTGTGAAACTGGGAACTGCCTGTTTCCTCCTATACATCTGAAGCTTGGGTGGGGGAAATCCCTTGGTTCACCTTAAATGCAAGCAGCCGCAGCGCCCCTCTCCCCTCCCCAGCTGGATCTCCCAGCCTGAGGGCGCCCTCTACCTGGTCCAGTTCTGTGTCCCGCCCAGTAGGCGAAACCCATCCCCTATCACTCCATCCTTTTACCAGGTTTGTGTTGCCTAGCCAATGACCTGGCCATTGTTTGGTACTGGGACCAGCAGGGATGATTTGGCGGGGGTGGGGTGGGGGGGGTGGTGTACCAGATATGGAACTAGGGACCTTTCGCTTTCGAGGCAGGCGGAGGAACCACTGAGCTAAATCCAGGCCCAAGAGATGATTATTAAGGATGGTTCTGTCCACTGGGTTTTTAATCTGGCAAGAGACACACTTAAAACTGGTAAAATTACAATAGTTGGCTAAAATCATTTGCTGGAGGACTCATTCATTTACCTAATTATTTGTTTCTTCTAAATTGCTTACTGATGCCTGTACTTGCTAGCCTGATTAAGAAGATAGCCAGGGGCCGGGGATTTAGCTCAGTGGTTTCACCTCATGCTGCACAAACACAAGCACAAGGACCCAAGTTCAATCCCCGGTACCAAAAAAAAAAAAAGAAGATAGCCAGGAGCAGGGACAGCAGCATAGCCCTATAATCCCAGCTTTTGGGAGGCTGAGGCAGAAGGATTTCAGGTTCCAGGCCACCCTTGGCAACTTAGACCATGTAATAAAATTCAAAGAGAGGGTGAGTAAGTCAGTGATACAGCACCTTTTTTAAAATGTGCAAGACCCTGGGTTCAATCCCCAGCACTGAAAAAAACGTTTAGGGTCATGTCACCCTAGGAGACAAGTGACAGCCAAGGAGTACCTGAGAGGTTTTCTAGCACTTATATTATTGCTGGATCTGGATGCTGGTTAATAGGTGTGCAGTTTGGGAGAATTCATTCACCTGTGGATTTATGATATATGTGTTTTTCTGTATGTATGTTATATTTCAACCAAAGGTTTCTTTTTTGGTTTTGTTTTATTGTTTGTTTTTGAGACAGGGTCTTGCTATCCAGTTCAGGCTGGCTTTGAACTCATTATGTAGCCTAGGCTGGCCTTGAACTCATATCGATCCTCCTGCCTCAGCCTCCCAAATGCTGGGATTATAGGCATGTACCACACACCTGGCTTCAACAAAGTTTTAAAATGGGAAACTGCTCCAGCTGAAAGCCTAGGAGAGCAGGGAGAGAGAGGGCTAGGAGTCCATCCACAACTCTGCCCTTCCGCAGAGGGATTTCCGAGAGAACCCAAGACTCCTTAAAGTACAGCTTGAAATCACTGATCAGTTCCAGCAGAGGCTAAGAGAGGACTGGTGCCTTTCCCAGAGTCCCACTGAGCCAGCACTGGAGCCCAGGTCTCTTGACTCCCAGGGCTAGGCCTCTGGACCCTATTCCTTTGCTGAAGGACCAGTGGCATTAGGGAGACGCAGCTAGTCAGTCTCCTCCCCTCCTGACTCCCTGAACTTGGTCTTGGGAGGAGGGCCAAGATTGGTGTGGATGATGCTTTTCTTATCCTGGAGCAACTTCCTTTCTGGGAACTGGGAGTCTCTTTCTGGGCAAAGACAATTCATCCAAAGGCAAGAAGAGTAGGGCTCCTCCTGCCCCCATCCGGATGGGCATCACGTGGCTCCCAGCTAGCAGGCCAGGAAAATTCCAGCCCTTGCACACTTAGCCTCATGCACACATCTGCTCACCCACGCTGGCACTCAGCCTCCCTAACTCACCTTGAACACTCACCACTGCACAATCCCCAGCACACTCTTTTTACCCTCAGCTTCCACCACTTCTCCCTGGGACGTATTGCCAGCCTATCACTCACCTCAAACCTACCATGTCCCTGGGGCCACTGAAATTCCAGGCAGTGGGTGAGGAGGAGGAGCAGGAGGAGGAGAGTTTGAACTCTGTGAAGGCACTGACAGCCAAGCTGCAGCTGCAGACTCGGCGGCCCTCATATCTGGAGTGGACAGCCAGGGTCCAGAGCCAGGGCTGGAGAAAGGCCCAAGCCAGACCTGGCCCCGGGGGGCCTGGGGCCATCTGTGGCTTTGACTCGATGGATTCTGCGCTTGAGTGGCTCCGACAGGAACTGGTGAGTCTGGTGGGGTGGACAGCCTTGGACAGGGTCTTTGGGCTCAATACCACAAGTGTGGGGAGGGGGTGAAAATGGAACCCCCCTGCTAGGAACTGCCCACACCTGTGCCCTGGGGTGAAGGAGTCCGGACCGCACTTGCTCAGTGTTCTATTTGGGAAGCCTTGGTGAAGGATTCTATACAATCTACTGACTTTGTGTTCCTGTGACTCAGGGGACACAGCCCTGCCCTTAGGGGACCACCAGTTATAGGCAGGGAAAGACACATCTCCCCTGCTCTGGGGATTACTGTATTCCAGAGATACATTAAAGCACAGAAGGAGGCACTGACCATGCTGGAAGCAGTCCAGTAGGATGGAGTTGAATATTAGCTATAAACCCAACATGTCCAACTATAAAGATGTTCAGGCTCCAACTTGGAGATTCTGCTTTGTTGATCTGGCATGGGCCCCCAGCATCTGTATTTGCTTAATAATGGTTCCTTAGCTTGTTTTGAGAACCACTAGTGTGGAGCAAGATCTGTGAGATAAGAGAGATGAAGGTGGGTGAGAGGGGTCTGGGGACACAACCAGTGCAAAGGCCCAGAGTGTTGACAGGAAGCAAAGAATGGCCTGTGAGTCTGGGGCCTGCCCAGCAGGCTCACAGCCCTTTTTGGCCACAGCGGAAAATGCAGGCTCAGGACCGGCAGCTGGCAGGGCAGCTGCTGAGGCTGCGGGCCCAGCTGCACCGACTGAAGGTGGACCAAGCATGTCACCTGCACCAGGAGCTGCTGGATGAGGCTGAGCTGGAGCTAGAGCTGGAACCTGGGGCTGGCCTGGCCCTGGCTCCACTGCTGCGGCACCTGGGCCTCACACGCATGAACATCAGCACCCGACGCTTCACCCTCTGCTGAGGGCCACCTGGCAAGAGGGAAGGCAGGGTGTCTCAGAGGCACACTCGAGTCTCTAAAGGCTAAATTGAGATTGCACAAAGCCCCAGCTGGCAAGGGGGAAGGAGGAAAGCTCAGACACCCAAGATCCTCAATAAACACCTTCTGCAATCCAAAGGTCTCTGCATCATTATTAAGGCCAAAGGTCACTGTCTGTCCTCTATCGCTGGGACTTGGAACTCCAGTGTAGGAGAGAGGGCCCTGTTGGGGGTAGAGATAGACTGATAAAGCCCCATTTCCCCAACAGCAGTGGGACCCTGTCTCAAAAAAAAAAAAAAAAGTAGGGAAGAATTTAAAATCTTAGGTCACTCCCAACTCCCATGGGAGGTGGTTTAGATAAATTGAGTGGCAAGGAATGCAGAATCTGGTAGTCCTGGGTTTAAAGGCAGCTCCCCTGTTTGTCCCCATTAGACACTGAGGAGGTCCCTTAATCCTTGAATCTGTCTCCTCATCTCTAAAATGAAGGTGCTAATTCTCACCTCACAGGTAGCTGGAAATGTCTTAAGTGAGATAGTACATAAATATGAGTATTTCTTACAATTACCATCACCGGCAGGATTATTGCCCCTATACTAAGGCCCACATATGAACTGTGAGGTGCTCAGGCTGACAGTCATGGGCTGCAGGCTCCGTATCAGGCATGGAGCCCCAGCTCTGGGCTCCCTGTCACTCTAAAGGCTTTTTGCTTTATACCGCTCAGCCTTTGTTTCTGTGTTACTCTTTGTCTGACTTTCCAACTCAGGCTTCCTCCCCCCATTTCCTGTCCCCCCTTCCCTCTGCAGCTGAGGTGCCCACAGCATCAGCTTCCACCTCACAAACCCCAACAATGCTCTGTGGGTTCCCCTCCCCCCGCCAGCTCTCTTGGTGCAGCTCAGGAGGTGACTTGCTTACACCTCCCTTCCCTCTGGGTCAAGGCCCAGTTCTTGGGCCTGACAGAGGCTCCCCGAGCTCCTTATAGTGCTGGTGACCTGACCCTCTTGCTCGTGGCAAGGTTCTTGCCTCCTGCCTGTAATGGAAAGTCCTGACTGTGTGACCTGCCCTGGTGCCTGGGCAGTGTGTTCTTTTTATCTTCCATGGCAGGAGATGGTGCCAGGCCAGGAACCTCCACCAGCAGCTGTAGATTTGACTTGACCTGCATTGAAAGTGCTGCCCCACTCAACAGCCATGAAAAGTACATGTTGGTGGGCCAGGGATTTAGCTCAGTGGCCCCAAGCCTGCCTCAAAAGCACAAGGTCCTGAGTTTGATCCCTAGTACTGGAAAAAAAAACACAACATAAGTACATGTTGTCTGTCCTCTGCCTACAGCAGGGCTGTCACTGTGCCCTCTTGAAGACATGGGGTTGTCCTGAAACACAACAGAGGCTGTTAGTCTACCCTGTGATTCTTTTTTTGTTTGTTTATTTTTTGAGTTAGAGTCTTGCTATGTAGTCCAGGCTGACCTCAGACTCATGGCGATCCTTCTGCCTCTGCCTCCCAAGTGCTGGGACTACCGTTGTGTGCTACCATACCCGGCTACCCTGTAATTCTAATAAAATTAGTGTCCTGTTCCCTGAGATGACATGGACATTGTCAGCAGACCACAGCAGCTGTTTTAACCTCTTGTCTGACTGTAATGCACTTGGGCTTCCCTTCAACTGTTTAGCAGAAATACTGTCCTTACCTCTGACTCAATGATGCTACCTTTGGCAGCAGCTTGAAACCAAAGCACCACTCAGCTTTCATCTTGTGACAGTGGTGCCACTTGCCTTCCACTGTCAGCTGGGTGGGTGTCTGTTCATCCCTGCTCACTGAGGTCAAAGGCTGCCCTTGAATCTCTTGCCTAGGTGGACCCCAGAAAGCAGGAGGGAGGGTCCATGAAACATCCTCCCCTCAATTTGAAACCCCTGAATGCCACTCTCAGATTGAGTAGGGTCCAGCTTGGAGATGTCTGGGACCTCCAGGGGCTGAGGGGTGGGGGGCTATGGTGACAGGAAGTTTGGGGTGCTAGAGGCTTGTGGTTGAGCTGCTGGGGCCTGGTTGGCTGTGGAGCCCTCAGGAGGAGGCAGGAAGTCAGAGTGGAACGTGGGCGCAGGGAGACAGGTGGTGGCTACGACAGCAAGGGGAGCTGAGACAGTGTCGGGGCAGCTGAGCCAGGCCAGGAGGACCATGTGAATGGGCCAGAGGGCTCTTGGGCTGGGCAGGTAAGGAATACTGGGAACCAGGCTCCAGGGCCATGATGGGAGGCCTGGCAGCAGAGGGCTACAGCTGGGTGTAGGGGACCAGGCTGCCTGGGGCAAGCAGCAGCCTCAGGCTGGGAGACAGAAGCACCTTGCTGGAGGTCAGTGGGACCTCTGCTTTCCTGCTAAGCTGGTGGCTGCTGCCTCTGCCTCAGTCTGCCACTGGCTCCCACTTCACCGGGAGTGTGCTTCTGGGGATCTGGCACATGAATGTTAGCTATCGGAAAGGCCTTCAGAGATCACCGAGTTCATTCCTTGTCCCATGGTGATGTGGTGCATGAGGTCCACAGAGGGCAAAGCATTCACCGTCCACAGTCCTTCAGCAAGGCAGTGGCAGAGCGCAACCTGGGAGAGAGAGAGTGGTGCCCTAGGCTGGGACCCCTATCCTCCCACAATGGAGCAGGGTGATGTGATGGACAGGTCTGAGGTGGGGGACTCAGGAATCCTTCTGGTCCCTGGAGCAGACCTGCAGATGAGAGAGAGCAAGAGATACAGAGAGAGAGAGAGACAGAGAGAGACAGAGAGAGACAGAGAGAGAGCGAGAGCAAAGAGGTCACCCAGAGCATCCGAATGGACACATGAGAAGCGACTTCAGCCTCAATGGCCAGCATCACTTGAGAGATGGAGTCCTCCGAGACGGGTGGATGTGTGGCGGGGGAAGGAGCGGATATTTCTCACTGGGATAGAGACCCCAGGGCTTACACATACATGTGACCTGACTCTGGAAAGTCCGAGGTGAGGGAGAAGGAAGAGGAAGGGCTATTTTTATCCCGACGAGTGCAGCTGATCCTGAGCAAGGAACTTCTGAACTTCCACCTGGAAAGTTGCCATCCCTTCCCTGCCAAGGGTCACAGCAGGATGTCCTTCCCTCTGCCCTGTCCCCTCCCACCTCATCTCATCTCCTGCTATATGTGAAGGGTCAGTTGGTCTTGCTGCTTCCCACTTTAGACCCTGAGGGGTAGAGCTTCAGGAAGGCATCATCAGCTACCTCCCACCCCCTCACATGCTAACTCTGAGCCTTCAGCTTTGGGGGGCAGTCCCCAGCTCAGCCAGACTTTCCCGGTTTCCCTTGCCTCACTGTAGTTTTTTTTGTGTCACATACTTTCCGCCTAGTCAGCATGTCCCAGCCTTTCTTATCTCCATCCCCAAAGCCTATCACCTCTTCTTTGGGTTGGGAAACACCCTGGCTCTCTCTGTGCTTCTTCAGGGCTCACCCACTCCTGGACGGACACAGGAAGCCCTCTTTGCCCAGCCTGCACTGATGGATGAAGCAGCCAGGGCTCCTTGCCTTGAGAGCTTCTCAAAGGGAAAAAGACCCAAGTGGACAGGGGCAGATAATTGGCTGATGATTCAGAGGAGAGAAAAGACATCCCTTGAGGAAATCTGTAAGCTTCCTGAAGAGTCAGGCAGTTCTGAGGACAGAACCCATTTTCCAGAGTGCCTAGGATATGAAGCCAAAGGTCACTATCCCCAGGTTCTGTTCCTTGGAACCATGAGGGCAGAGACCTCAGAATAAGGCCAAAAGCAAGAGAGCCCAGAGGGGTGGTGTAGTGTGAAGACCCAGGCACAATTCTGGCCTGTTTCTTCTCTTCTCTGCTCTTCCCTCCTCTCTCCTCCTCTCCTCTCCTTTCTCTTTTTCAGCACTGAGGATTGAACCCAAGGCCTTTAAACTGAGCTACATCCCCAGCCCTTTTTACTTTTTATTTAGAGATAGGGTCTTGCAAAGTGACTAAGTTACTCAGGTTGGGCTTTGAATTTGTAACCTTCCTACCTCAACCTCCTGGAATGCTGGTGTTACAGGCATGTGCCATCATGCCTGACACTGCCATTTCTTTGAGTGGCTTCACAGTTCTAAACTTCAATTTATTTATCCTTAAAGAGGCAACAATTAATCTCTGTCTTACAGAGTACTTTTGGGGAAAATAAGAGAAAATAATGACTGTGATGTGCCCTGGATAGTACCTGACACATAACAGGCCCTTAAGGGAAGCTTGACACTTCCTCTGCATGGAGAGGAGGGCTGTCCACACCCAGAATTATACCTCCTCACCACCTTGGCCTCGGCAAGGGAGTGAATTGTCCATTCCCTCACACTTGTGGTGTGACTTTGCAAACAGGTTTGTTTCCTGTATATAGTGGGGTGTGAGAGCTCTGGCGTTAGATTCTGAGATTCTGAGCTGGGTGGTTGGGTCTGCCTTGAAAGAGGGTCTTGTCTCTCTGCCTGAAGGTGGCACATGCCCTTGATCCCAGCATTCGGGAGGCTGAGGCAGGAGGATTGCTGTGAGTTCAAAGGCAGCCTGGGCTACATAGTGAGTTCAAGGGCAGCCTGAACTACAGAGCAAGACCTTGTCTCAATAAAACAAACGAACAAGGCCAGGGATTTAGCTCAGTTGTTTCTCTGCCTGCTGCGCAGGCCCAAGGACCAGAGTTCGATCTCCAGTACCAAAAAAAAACCCCAAACAAACAAAAAGGAGGGCCCCTCACATAGACACACATACACCCACGCTCCCTATCTGAAACACCACATATATCACCATAGGGAAATGTGTGTGTGTTGGTCTGCTCAAAGACTGGGGCAGAGACTACACATACGAACACAGGCTGGATCCTACAATCCATCCATACACACACCCTCAAGCTGATGGCTTCAAGGCCACCTTCATTTCACTGAAAATAATTCTGAGAGTGGAAGCAGCCAGGACCAAGATACCATCCAGGAATGTAAGGGGCTTTTATTTTTCCTTCTTTTTTTTTTTTGGCTAAAAATCAAATCCACACCTCCTGCATGCTAAGTACATACTCTACCACTGAGTTTCACCAGCCCAGGGATATGGGCTTTAACAACCTACCTTAGTGCAGATTTTAAAGATCTGGAGCTGCATTTCCAATGCTTGCACTAAA